TCTTGAACAACACAACCTAGATGAGACGTATTATGAACTTGTTCCTGCTGGGCATAAGAACTTGTATTTGGTACCCTTAAGGAGGGACGCATGCCTGTAGGCGGTGCGAATGCTTGGCCAATATAGAAACGGGACTACCTCTGAGCCACAACTTAAGATGGCTCTGGTTCTGTTCATGATAATGTTTCCGAGGCCTTGAGATTTTGGAGCATCAGCGAGCAGTTTAGCTACTAGTGGGATACAGAGTCGCACCTCACCGAGTTGCAGTCAAAATACGTGGTGGGATGGGCGTATTTAACTGGGAGCAATGCAACTTATGGGATCCTGATAGCGCACTAGAAAAGATGATACGAGATGAGATCTATGTCGCGAACACGAATGAAGCCCTGGAGATTGTGGACTTCTTGAGGCGGCCAAAGGCATTGCATGTTCCTGATTTCATTATTTAGCTACCGAAGAGAATCCACATGGGTACGAGGGTGCTAGGCTTCAAGGAGTCTGCATTGTACTAGTGCTAGTAGTGAAGTTTCATGAATTTAGCCTTATGTATTTCTTTTTCTTTTTAAAGTTTCGTGGAGTACTATGTCAAGTTACCCTTATGTATTTTTTATTTGTTGAAGTTTCACGGACTATAGTGTGTCAAACTTATCCCTATGTATCCCTTCCATGATGTACTTTCTTGTATATTTTTTTCTGAATCAAGTACTTTGTTGTATTAGACAAAAAAATCCTGCTGAGCAAGCTACATGTATGTTGCATTTTCCCTCAGCATTTGTATGTATATATACCAAGACAAATTTATTAGGAGAGGGTACTACGGTGGTCACATAGATGTATATATACCATATGGTGAAAATCTTCATTATTATGATGCCAACTCTCTTTATCCATTTGCTATGTTGTGGGATATGCGAGAGGGGAACCCGAAGTGGGTAAGTAATGAAAGAATAGATGATGAAAAAGATTTCATTCTACCATCAATTTGAGATATGCCTGACCAAGCAATTCCACAACCTATGACAGGTAGTTCACAGGCGGGTACAAAGCTCCGGCAACTCATGTAGGGCTTGAACCAAACAAGCCCTTAGTGTTGTGCAACGAGACGAAACCTAGTGGTGGACAACAACCTGAACAATCCGATATGCAAAAACGAGATGACATGGTAGTTTGAAATATAAAATTCATAGCCTGTTGTACTACTACACATTTTTTGAAGGGTTTTCTATTGGTTAAATCATGAAATTTTACATCTATTTTAAAATGGACTCATGGAGGGTTTTTTTTTTTTGAGAAACAAATGGACTCCTGTAGTTGCTCTTAGCACAACGATGGACCACTGCATTCATGGGCCTGGTTGGTCGAATCCGCTAGGCACAGGCCCAAATCATCCACTCTGGAAAATGGAAATCCATTCTTCTTTCCTAGGCCCAGAGTGGTGGTTTTTGCTTTGCTTTGGGTCAGTACTCGGTCGTCTTCGACGCGAATCGGGAATTCAGGATGCGGCTCTCCTTCCCCCTTGTCGCCGGCGCCGTCGTGTGAGTCTCTCCATTCCCCATCTCTCACTTGCACCATCCTCTTCATGGATGCCACTCGGCGTCTCTCGCCAGCCCGATGCCGATCTAGACGCGCCTATCCAGTTGCTGCTCCACTGCAACATCCGATTTCGGTTGCGGGATTGCGGGGTGCCCTTGTAGTCCCAGTGTCATCTGGTGTAGATGGAACTGTGACCTCGGTTACTGCCCGGGTTGGTGCTGTAGTCCCCGTGTGTAGCGCGAAAGGGTTGTGGGTGTCAATCACAGCTCTGGTTAGGTGCGCAGGAAGCTTCGCTGGGCACACATCTAGGCAATGTCAGTAGGTTGCTCATGCTGTGTTAGGTAGTACCTGACCCATTTTCATAGCGTGTAAGGAACAGGAATATCTGTTCTCACGTTTCAGGTTATGAAGTTTGGCCTGGTCATGGTTCTAGCATCAATACACATCCCTTATTCCCATTTTTCATATGTTTGCTTCTTTGGTGTTAATTGTTGTATATGAATTTGCAACCCGAGCTTGAAACCTATATTCATGTTATACTCCATGTCCACACCATGTTATAAAATGCTTTTAGTGTGAGATGTATTTTAGCCAATGGGGTTCCTATATCCTCTAAAATTGGTCATCGACACATCCTTTTACCCTGACTGAAACGCCATCTAATTCATTGTGGTCACTCATTTTTGGTCAACTTATTCCTCAGTCAGTGAATATTTAGCAGAACAGAATAAATTCAATGATTCAAGTATTCAACTAGTAATTTGACATGGATTCAACGTAATATTGAAGGACGTATCAATTTTTTCCATTTTCAACACATCAAATTGCTCCACTAGTCTGCAGTCTGCAGGATATCATACTAATTTGATGCTGACTCGTAAGTCACTAACCCAGCAGTTTCTGTTTGGTAACTTGATGGCAAATTAACAAACCTCACCAGGTTCATAAAAGCAAAATAGAACATATAGGTAAATGGAGGAAACCGCCTTTTGGATTTCGGTTTCAGTTATTTTGCTTTAGAGATGAGCTATGAGATACTACCAACTCGAGAATTGTGGATGCATATTCTATTTGATTGGGGACCAATAATACTTACTAGAAAACCTGGGCGCGGCTTTGCCGTGCCATCTTGATCACAGATGTTATTTTATTGCGCTATAGTTAAACAATAGAGTATTGGAGCTCAATAAGGAGCTCTAAGGTGTTTGATATCTTCTCTCGTTTTGTTTGGCTGCTGTGCTCTCATTCTGTAGTTCAGCAATGTCACCCTACAATGACAAATTTAGAAAGCATAATAACATGATTACAGATGGATAGCATGGAGGAGAGATAAATGTAGCTTATATAGCGGATAAGATCGTAAGGGTACAAAAGCAGTGTCGACAATAAGTAATAAGAACTACATCAAGTATTTAGTAGAAAATAAATAAAGGTCAGTTGTTATGGCATTCTTTAATGACAGTCTTCAATGAAATATTAGACAAAATAGCATATGTACTTACAGATATGACTGTTGTAGCAGCCAAAGACAAGCCTCTGATTTATGCTGATAAACATGAGAATGCTGTTATCAATTAAGTGTTTGCTATTGATTAGACGGGAAGGTACATTGCAACTACACATTCAATCCACGTCATCTTCCTTGTACGTAATCAGTATCTGTGAATACTAACTTGGGAACGCCTACCTATCGCCAGAGCAGAGATGCATTTGACCCCTTCCTGCATGTTGTTTTTCCTCCGACAAATCTGAGTGTATCCAGCTTTTATATGTCTCTTTGGCTTATGAGTGGCCAATGATAATACCTACAACTTTGAAACCATGAACTGAGACCAAGGAAAACACAGTGTCTAATCGTACCAAGATAAATGTGATGGAATGCCTTAGCTCAAGCTGTAATTCTTAACATGACTTCTGCAGGCTAAATTAGCACATTCAGATAATTTTAGGCATGCACAAAGGTCATATTGTCACAAAGCTATAAGCATATGAAGACATATTATTATACTATATCCTAATCTGATAACCATTCAGGAACTCCTCCATCTAGAAGATTTAGCTTTTCACTTTACATAAGACTTCAGTTGATTTAATAAAGTTCGATGCAAAATATAAGTTATAACAGATTTGTTAGTGTGGATACAAGTTAATTTAATAAGTAATATAACATACTAATGCTGATAACCTACTTCTGGGCTCTAATTTACAGCACTGTGTATCACTATAGTGGCCAAGGCAAATGTTGAGCACATTACGCAGCTGTTTGCATATCCTGATATCAATGCATTGTAAGGTCCAGATGTCCATGTGTGGCAATGCTCTCAAAAGCTGAACAACATCAAATACTGTCTATTTAATAGATTGCCAGCACCTGGATGCATGATGCCCTTAGTTGATTGACAAATCATTTGAAATCTTCATTGCAATTTCAGATTTAAAAAAGTAATAGTGTATATTTAGAACTTCATTAACAAAATTGTCAAAATATGACCTCTTGCAGTGACTGATTTTTTAAGTTAGATGTGCTTGGATATGATTAGTGACCTCCATTATCTTCATATCAAAAAGTCTATGTATTCAAGAAATCATTTTTTTCACCTCTAAACATCACAAGCCTCAACCTTAGCTGTCAGTGGCTGCACCTGAGTGCTATTTTGGCATTTTTTCCGTTTCTACAATAGCTAAAATTCAGATGCTTTTTTTAGTTAGAAACTGTAAGCAGGCAAGGGTGCAAGGCAAAACTTAGAAATGTTAGATTAAATCAAATTCAGAGTTCATGTTCTCTGGGTAGTAGCCTAACCGGAAATAATGTAATGATCTCAAATTAATGCCATAAATAGTAGTAGAAAAAACATATAGTGGCTTGATTACAGAACAGTGATTTATCGGAGCAAAAATTGAAAATTGTATCATATACTTTTTGGTTTGCAGTAAGAGATGCAGAGGTCGTTGAGTATATTTAATAAGCTGAACAAAAATGTGTACATTGAAAAGATGGACAAAGGGCAAAACTGCATTAGCAATACCCTGGAAGGCTGGAACCAACACTTCCACTCCTATTTTTTTCGGTGGAGATTATTGCTCACTGCACATGGTCTGACAGCTTAAAGATTGCCTCGGTTTATACCTAGCAGAGACAAAGAGATATTTTTATTGTTATTTCTTCCATAGAACTGCTTGCACTTGACCTGCTTATTTTCCAATTGAGATGAAATTTAGGTTACTTGCACACTCTTTGGTTCAAATGGTTTTTATGCATATTGATTTGGAACACTCAAAATCCAATCTTCAATAGATGTTGATGCCATGGTAAGTTGAAGGTAGTAAGCAAAAACATTTGAAAAATTGATTATTACAATGTGGTACAGGATAATCTTTTCTACAGGCATTTTAGCAAACACATGATGTGCATAGTAAGAGAGTAACGAAATAGCTGTGAAGCACGCAGGGAGGAAGGGAGAGCGAGATTACCAGACGCCCCCCTCCCCCCTGTCATCGCAGCAGCAGTGCCTGCCAAAGGGCCTGTCAGCCTGTGAAGGCAGGGTGAGGGATGCTCCTGAAGGCATTGGAGCCCAAGTTGGCACCGAAGTGGCGGAGCCCCAGAGCATGCTGGTGGAGAGCACATTGGAGGTGCACAGCCGCCGCTTCCAGTCCGTCGTGCATTCGCCACATTTCCTCTTCTTCCTTCTGTTGGCGCACCAGCTGCTGACGCGCACCTGCGCTGCCTGACTGCATCTGAAGTGGAAATAGAAGGGAGGAGACATGTCGTTATCTTCATCTACTCTCTGGGCGGTCGCCCCGCAGGCTCTTGGCCTTCCTGCGGCGTGGGCATCAGGGACCACGAGGTGGGGCTAGGGCACTGGGGGGACTGCAGGGCCCGGACGCTTTTGCGGGCGCCACCAGTTGCCTCAGCTTCCACCATGTTGGCCACGCCCGGGTTCCCACGACCTTGCCTGTGAAGAAGAAGGTGGCCATGGCCATGGAGGCCGGAGGTGCCGGGGTGGATGTGGTGCCCGGGGCGGACATCGGTTTTGCTACGGCGGGGTCGGCGAGGTGGCCCGAGCTCGAGCTGCGCCGCCGCGCTCGCGTCGAGGTGAAGGTGACCACCACCACCACAGGCCGATGAATTGAGAGTACGGGAGATATCGGGTCCGTGAGGGAGTGGCCAGAGGGAAAGAGGCCTGGACTGCGGGTTGATTCGACTAAAGTTTGAGGTATTTTTTGCAAAAATACCGCGGCTCGCCCGATCTAGGCCGTCCGCGTGTCCGATCGAACGGCCGGAAAAAGCCCGCGACGTGGCACGCTGGCTGGCCAGCTTTTGGAGGCAGGATTCATATGGTAAGATATGAAAAAGAGCACTGTTAGAAAACAGCTGTTGCCAATCTTCATGGCTAGGATAGTAAAATCAGCACAGCTGAATGAAGTGTGTTAGCCACGCAGAATCCATCTCCAGAAAATCACTTAGGATATTTTGTAAGAGAAGTTTAATATATTTACTTTTAGTTTGACCAAATGATTAAATGGTGATGTTACTGTGATCACATAAGTACTTGGCTGTGCAAGAACACTTTTCCAGTTTTCCATGTAGCAACTGAATAACTGAATTGAACAGACTCTAGGAATGATTGAGATGATATGGAATCTTCTGTGCATGGTTCAGTTTCTGATATCCTAAAAGGCTACAACATGAGTTTCTAACCTTTGGCCCAGGCACAAGTTTAGCTTTAGGAAATATGTTTTGGAGTAGTTATGGTGTGTGCATTGATGATAACTTTTATGTGCATAACTGCAAGAGCATCATTTATATTTGATTTCAACCTAGAGTTCTAAAAGTTGAGATCCCTTTGACATTGAAGAATTTTGTGGACTGCAACATGATCGAACTATGCATGGCCCTTTGATTACTTCATGTAGTTGCTATTGATTCTAAAATAAGTGTTTTACTAGTGTGGGCACGAGTTTTTTCAGTAGATCATTTGATGAAATCTGCTCTTGGAATCTGAAAGTAAGGGTAACAGAGTCGTCGTCATATAAACTTGGTATTTGGCAGCTCATGAAGTCAAGCGCTCAAGCTTTTAGTGATATTTGTACTGCTGTGACAGTAACATGAAGAATTTGTTTGGCATCCATATAAATATATAATTTATCTTGCAATGGTGTTTCCTTGTGCTGACTAGGGTTTGTAGTACATAGCAATTATGCTTTGTGCCCACTGCCCATTTCTCTTTTGTTTCCTTAGATGTCTTTGTCAAAAGAAGCCCTGTTTATTGGTGTGTTTGTTGGCTACAGTCGCAATTGCATATCTGCTTATTATGTTGGCAGCATAATCTGCTATTGCTGTCAAGCTTATCTTGATGTTCTTAGTTATTCTTTCCTACAAATGTTACAGGATCGGAGTGATTTCTGGTAATGTTATATTTGGGCCACCACTTCAGAAGTACTGGGCAGAGAAGCAGCAGCAAGAGGTAGCAAAAGAAGGCCAGACTGGTTCAACCTGACAAAATGTCCTCCCCTTCTGCAGTTACATGGAATAAACACTGAATGATGATGTCCATACAAATGTGTACTCGTTAACCCTGAGCTAGCATCACTTTTTGTTAGCATTGGTTATATTAGAGCAACTCCAAGAGACTCTCTATATCCTTCCTAAATGATACGAATAGAGATTTTGGTGAAAAATTACCCTCCAACAACTTGTCTAAATGGTTATGTAAATATAGCCGTCTTCTATTCCGGATCTTTCGCTAGCCAAAAATAGAAAACGAGAATGACTTTCTAGAGTGCGCATGAAATATAGAAAAGTTGTTGGAGAGTGAAAAGATATAGAAAACGATTTTTATGGAAATGACTTTCCAAATGATGATTTAGAGAATGAGATTTAGAAAGACTCTTGGAAATACTCTTAGTTGCCAAGTTTTTGGTGCTGGAAGAAGACATCGTGGAATGCACAGACTGATTTGAAATCCAAACTATATTTGCATACCTTTGTATGCAGGTTGATCTCGTAGCTAGATGTCAAGATCACATGGTTTGGATGTCCTGTATCTGTGGATTTTACTTTTCAAAACATCTGTGGATTTTACTTGCCTCTATGGGCCTGTTCGCTGGTTGGTGTTGGTGCTGGTTTGGGCTGGCTGGTGCTGGTTTTCTGTGAGAAGAAAACACTGTTGGCTGGCTGGTTTGGACTGGCTGAAACCAACAAACGAACAGGGCGTATATCGTGGCTTCCGAATCTTGCTGGGCCGACCGTTCCTCGGAATTCCGTCCCAAATGGGCTTTCTCGGAATACGGCTCGGCCCTTCCCAGTACAACCCGCCACCGCTTTCTGAACACGAAGTCGAAAGGACGCGATATTGCAGAAGGTCCCTCCCCGCGCATTCACCAGCCCTAGCCGCCCATTTTCCCGCTAAAACTAAGAACCTTTGCCTCCTCCGGCGACTCGCCGGATCCCTGAACCTGGAGTGAACCCCGCACAGGATGCCGAGGAAAGCAAAACCCGCCGCCCAAGCAACCGTGGCCACCGCCGCCGCCACCACCGGCGTCCAGTACTGGCTTCTGAAGACGGAGCCGGGCGAGTGGTCGTGGTCCGACCAGGCGCGCGCCCCGGGCGGCGTCGCGCCGTGGGACGGCGTCCGGAACCGCCAGGCCATGAACAACCTCCGCGCCATGCGGCCGGGTGACCGTTGCCTGTTCTACCACTCCGGCGCCGGCGCCGCCTCCCGCCGCGTCGTCGGCGTCGTCGAGGTCACCCGGCCCTGGTACGAGGGCGGCGAGGGCGAGGGCAAGGAGGCGGCGGCCGGTGGCGCCGTCGACGTGCGAGCGGTCGGGGAGTTCCGAAACCCCGTCCCTCTGGGTGACATCAAGAAAGCGGCGGGCGAGGTGGAGGGGATGAAGGACTTCGCGCTGCTCCGGCAGGCGCGGCTATCGGTGATGCCCGTGCCGGCGGGGATCTGGGATTGGATTTGCGACGCGGGAGGGGGCTTCGTGCAAGACGGCGAGGTTGAGGATGAGGAAGAAGAGGTTTGATGCTGCAAATGTGGAAGGTACACGACCTGATTTTGCTGAGCAACAAAGAACTCGATTTGTATTGGTACATTTTTATAGTATTTCTGTAAACTGTGTGCTTATCTTGAAATCTTGTAGAACCAAGTTGCTTGTGATGCCGGGTGACATGAGCAACTGCAAGGCGTCATTTTGTGGAGTCCTTTTGGCCTGCAAGGGTTGCTAGTTCTGAAGAGGCATTCATGTTTCTTCAGTGTTTGCCATCTCGGCACAGAAGTGCCCAACAAGAATGCACTCCTCCGTTTTAAATTATAAGTCGCTTAAGTCAAAGCGATTTATAATTTGGAACGGAGGGAGTAGTTACTAGTTGATCTATGTAAGTTCAGTAGTCGTAGTCGATGCAGCTGGAGTAGCTTGGATCTATGAAGTACACAAGCGACGAGCTATTGAGTGCTTACTTTTGTAGCTTGCGACTTCCTATAACTGGATATCTACTTGCTGCTCTGTATGGACAGTTGGATGTAGTTTACTAAACTTTCAAGCAGTCTTTCGTATTTTAGATCTATATATGGATATCGTTAATTGCCACTCGATCACTGATTAAGCTACCATTGCACACACTTAGATCATCATAGACCTTACAACGCACATTATGAACTGCAGGTGGCACATTGATCCATTCCCCCACTTACTGTGCACAGACAGACAGTTCCTTTGCAACTGTTCAGTTATCAATGTAAAATGTACTTCCTCCATCCCAAATTGTAAGTCATTTCAAGAATTTTGGAGAGTCAAAGTTTTTCAAGTTTGACCAAATTTATATAACAAAATAATAATATTTATCATACCAAGTAAGTATCATTAGATTCTTCATTAGTTATATTTTCATATTATACCTATTTGATGTCATCAATCTTTGTGTTTCTCTCTATAATTTTAGTCAAACTAAAAAAAGTTTGACTCTCCAAGATTCTTGGAATGACTTATAATTTGGGATGGAGGGAGTAGAATAGAATAATTCTACATCGTGTGACGAAGTGTGCCATGTCTAAAGCTGTTCACTCGAATGAAGCTGGAAATTCAGAATTGGAGCTGATGCTCGCAATCTCCTCGCAGGGCGGGGAAAAAGGACTACGGTGCTCATGTGAGATGCAGCTGTTGTAGCTTATAATAATGCAGGCACAAATGTGGTTGGTCAGCTGAGCTCTGAACATAGCCTGTTCGTTTGGTCGTAAACGATCGTGGATTATAAGCCAGAACAGTATTTTTCTCTAACATCAAACTAGCCAGCAGTAATAATCCACGATCGTATCAGCACCAGCCGAACAGGCTAATATACGTGCAGCCCGCAGGACGCTGGCAACTGGCGGTGGCTTGTGGTTTGGGTTGGTTTAAGCTGTCGTACCAAGATTAGTTTAGGTTCATTCAATGTTTTGGGAGCTTCTTCTATAGCCAGAGGACAATACGACGGTGTTTTTTTCCATTTCCATCTGCGTGACAATTCAAACTTCCTGATCTTTGCAGAGGCACACAGCTGATATACAAGTTTTACGATTTGACCATTGTACAACAAGAATGTAAGATGTCCTATCTCCAAACTTTTTGTCCGAGTTTTGTTTTTGTTCTTTTTTTTTTGGGTAGTGCGTCGATACCAAATTCTATGACATAGCTTTGGTTCCTCTGGCTACCTTTGTAATGGAAAATGACATCTCCTTTTTATTCGCAAGGAATGGAAAATGAACACTAATTGTTGTGTCGTGGCAGTGTTCACTTAGCACACATACAGTCGGCGATACAGGCTGTGTGATGTGGCGGCATCACCGCATCAGATAGTAAAATGAAATTCTGGAGATGACGCCGTATCGCCTATCCAGTCATCCAGATTCAGATATAGGACCCCCAACGAATGTGACCGAGACCTGATGCTGAAGGCTGTGCTGGGACTGGCCGATGGAGCAGTGCCGGTGGCAGCGCCGGTAGTGAGCTGTGTCGCAAACTCTGAGTTGAACCGTCCATCTGTTTCGTCTTCGATTCGTCCCATGTTGCCTGTCGGCGACTTGCTTGGTTCGTCCTGTCTCCTGGTTCCTTTTTCTCTCTGCCACTGCCACAGCAATTCCACCAAATCGGGCAGGAGCATTGAGTGCCAGCACTCCCAAGTCCTACGGATACCGTCGTCTTTGAATGCCTACCACCAGTAACAGACGACAAGCGGATGATGCCGTTGAACGCGGGAGAAGGGAAAATGCGCCGGACACCAAGCACCGCTCCGGAGCTCAAAGATGTATAGCGGTGGATGGACGGAAAATGCGGCGGCGCGACGCGACTGTGCTCGGACGCACACCCAGCGGTCGCCGCGCGCGGTGGCCGAAAATGGACGCGCCACGACGACGCCGAGGACCCGAGCGCCATAAATGTGCACATGAATGGCTCGCGTGGTGTTGCGATTGCGTATGCGAAGCGAGACCCGATTGATATTTTTGAGACTTTTTCACGTGTGCCATTATAAAAGATCGCAATCCCCTGTGTGCTCCTGGAAAAATTCAGCGGTCTTCAGCGCCACTACTTCAACTTTTTCGGGTCCTCCATGCCACTTCCGTCAGTTCAGGCTCTAACGCCGTTAAAGTGCAGGTGTGAAAAGACGAAAATGCCCTTAAGTTCAAATATGTTATTAATTTTTTTTGAGCATCTTAATGACTTCAAATGAAAAAACTCAAAACTAGAAAGTTGTAGATCTCGTTGAGATCTATAATTTTCATATAAAAATTATTTTCATTTAATTCCGCAAAAAAAATATGATGATTTTTCTAAGATATATTAATCATATCAAATCATATTTTTTTTGCGGAATTAAATGAAAATAATTTTTATATGAAAATTATAGATCTCAACGAGATCTACAACTTTCTAGTTTTGAGTTTTTTCATTTGAAGTCGTTAAGATGCTCAAAAAAAATTAATAACATATTTGAACTTAAGGGCATTTTCGTCTTTTCACACCTGTAGTTTGACGGCGTTAGAGCCTGAACTGACGGAAGTGGCATGGAGGACCCGAAAAAGTTGAAGTAGTGGCGCTGAAGACCGCTGAATTTTTCCAGAGGCACAGAGGAGATTAGGATCTTTTATAATGGCACACAGGGAAAAGTCTCGATATTTTTCGGGTTGTTCGCAAAAAAAAAAATCTTTTCGGGGCGCAGGGCGCTGGACGCGGACGACCTGACCTGACCCACCCGTCGTTCCGTCGCCGATGGGGTCCGTGCGGTGCGGTGCAGTGCGGGCATCTAACCGCTGGCGCGAGCCGCTGTTGCCGATCATGCCTCCACTGAGCTGAGCTGAGCTGTTCTCTCTCTCCATCTCCGCTGCTGGAGCTGCCTCTCTCCCTAGCCGGTGGCCGCCCCGCCTGCCCGCGAGATCCCCAACCCCCAGCCTCTCCTCACGCGCCTCTTTTAATGCGCGCCCACCCCGCTCGCAGGACGCAAATCGCCATGGCGCCCTAGGCTCACAAGCCCATCACAGACGGACAAGGCGCAGGCAAGCGTACACGTACACGTACACCTACCTCGGCGAGCAAAGGATAAAAAGCTGATCAGAGCAACGAAACCCGAAGCCACGGCCACCGCGGCGCCCCGCCACGCCGCGCTCCTCCTGCTCCTGCTGGTCGGCCTGCACGCCACGACCGCCGGTGCCGGCGCCGTTGTCGATGCCGAGCTCACGTCCAAGCCCTCCTCTCCGGGGCCCAAGAAGCCGAGCGTCAACGTCAAGCCGCCGACCGGCAAGCTCAGCATCAAGCCGCCGCCCGTCGGCCCCGGCGCGGGCGCGGGAGGCGTCGGCGGCGCGATCCCAACGACGGAGCACGGCACAAAATCAAGGGGTGCCAACTTGATAAAAACACAAGAGAAATACGTTGACATTAGAAATAAAATCATATATCAAGTGATAAATTTAACTAATCACATATTAAGTGACTACAGAGACTGTCAGACTACTCTTAACCAAGTTATGGACTAAAACTAACTAGTTATATATATTTATAGTTGGACCACATTTCACAAAATGCAAGTGACCACAAACTATATTTGAGAATTTTGTTTTGGACAAGGGGGGCCGGAGCCCAGTTTGACCCCCACTGTGCTCCGTCCGTGCGCGATACCAACCTTTCCGGGCTTCGGCGGCATCCCCGGGATGGGCATGGGCGGCGGCGGGTTCGGCAGCATCCTCGGGATGGCCGGCGGGTGGGGCGGCGGCTACGGCGGGCCTGCCGACGGGTACGCCCACAGCGGCGTGGTGGCGCCCACGGTGACGTGCGCCGAGAAGGGGCCCTGCTATAGGAAGAAGGTCACCTGCCCCAAGAAGTGTTTCTCCTCCTACAGCGGCGCCGGCAAGGGATACGGCGGTGGTGGTGGCGGTGGCAGCTGCACCGTCGACTGCAAGGTCAAGTGCACGGCCTACTGTTGATTCACTTCCGTCCGCTGGCGCTGAGCAGTTACAGTAGCAGTGAGCGGTCTGGGACTCTGGGTGTCAGTGGCCTACTGCTGTAGACTGTCGGTGTGGTAGCGCACATCGGTGAGTTGACGAGGACTTGTTTAGTCCGAAAACTTTTTCAAAAAGTGCTACAGTAGTTATTACATCGAATCTTATTATACGTGTATTAAGTATTAAATATAGACGAAAAAAACTACTTTCTTCTGTTTTCATTTACTTGTCACCAATTTTTTTTACTGTAGCAGATTTGACGAGCCATTTTTTTCTTCTAGAAAATTTTAGATACTTCAAAGTATATAACATTAATCAAGTATGTAAAATGAAGAATCATATATGTGAAAATTTGATGTATCTAAAAATCTTTTGTAAAAAACGTATGGTCAAATTACTACAGTAAAGTCGGTAACAAGTAAATGAAAACAGAGGGAAGTAATTGCACAGTTTGGTTGAAAATTACGAGACGAACGTTTTGAACCTAATTAGTCCATAATTGAACACTAATTACCAAATAAAAATAAAAGTGCTACTGTAGCCCATTTCCTAAAATTTGGCCAACTAAACAAGAGTGCTAAGTAGCCCAATTTCCAAAGTTTGCTACAGTACGGTAGTTAACTGCAGTGTTATAGTAACAGTGCTAGCGTACTTCTGGAACTACATATAGACAAGGGTGCTCCACGATGTGGATAAGGCAGGTTTATTTCTAAGATGCTCTCTGCTTATGGTGTTTATTTTAATCATCTACATTGTGTTCTTGCTTTGGTTAAGTCATAAGATGTGGTTGTGAAATCCTGTATGCATAAATAAAGAGCTTTATATAAGCATACACTTCAGTGTTCTTCTCTTTTGCTATTTGTATATACTGCTGAGTGTGAGAGTTATGCCATCGACATTTCAGGACACCCTAGAAAAAGTTTGGACCTACCGGCCTGTTCGGCTAGCTAGAAAAACAGCTGGTACCGATACTGATATTGATTTGTTGTGAGAGAAAAACATTGTTATTTCATAGAAACGGTACGGCTGATAAGCGAATAGGGCCGTGACATCGAACTGTGATTTGCCTTTAAGTAATCGTAAGTCACATTTAATAGAACGGCGTGGCTAGCGCCTAGACATTCGGACGCCCGTGCAGCCTACATCTGTCCGCCTCGCTTCGACTCACACGTGCACCCCGCCCTCGACGCTGCGCTCCTCGCTCCTCGCGTCCTGATGGACAGCCGCGCCGCCGTCCCCACCTCGCACGAGCTCCCTGCCTCCCGATGCGCCTTGCTCCTTCCCCCTGACCTCCTCCTCTCTCTCCGCATGGGCGGGGCTCAAGAGCCGGTCCGTAGCTCGCTACGCCCCGTCCACCAGTCTCCAGCTCTGTCACGCCCCATCCCCCAGCGCCCGGGCCATGCATCCATCACTCAACGTGCTCCCGTGAAACACTTGCAACATGAAACATTTGGATGCAACATACGTCGGACACAGATGAAACATTTGAATCATACTGTTGCAACATATCTGTGAAATATATGCAATATTTAGATAAAACACTTGCCACATGTGTGTGAAAAACATATGCAACATCTAGATAAAACACTTGCAATATGTGTGTGAAATATATACAACATCGAGATAAAGCACTTGCTGCAACATACGTCTGAAACAGATGAAACATTTTTCCAAAACGCTTGCAACATACTGTTGACGGTCACTAACACCTGTTTTAACCATCAACATTCCATCCAAAAGCATGACAAAGTGAGGTAAATCATCATCACATATGTAGAACTTCGTTTATAATTCATCTAATTCCACTTGTGCTTGTAGAATTATTTATATGCAGGAAATTTAAGCAAAAATAAGCAAAAGGGTGACAAATATGGACACATGGAGACAAGCGGACATGGCAAGAGGCCTTAGGCCCACTTGGGCGCCGCCCAGCCCCCCAAGTGGCCCTGCCACATCACCGATCCATGAGAGTTCCTCTAGAAGCAATGACAAGCGTCCACTCAATGTCGGCTTGATCAATGGCCAAGATTTGATGACGGTGGATCTATGGGCCCATTATCATACACTTGGGAGCCTCCAACCGACCTACTACCCAAATTTTGACAACCAGCATCGTAGGATGCAAAGGCGGTGCATCCTAGGGCCGGCCGGCGCCCTAGGTGCTCCACCGACGTCCCTGCTACCTACAAGTACCCCCCTTAATCTACACTATAAATATGTGGTGTGGAGCTCGGTGGAGAAGTGCCCACATTCAATTCCAAGCTCTCCAAGCTTCTCTTAGCTTTCTAGCTTAGCATTAGCTATAGAGTAGTAGTCTAGTAGTGGAGTAGAGCAAGAACGGAGCTTCTCTCGGAGTCCAAAAGAGTCTTCTGGGTCTGGTATAGCTCTTTTGTAATTCTTTCATTCAGCATTTACTCTATTTAGTACTTTATTCTAGTACTTTATTTTAGTATTATTGCTTTGCTTTACTTAAGTACTTGTTTATTATTGTTCATCATTAGTGAGCTTAGGTGCTTATTGTTTGGCATTAGTAGCATAGGTTATCTCTTAATTAGCAGCTATTCGTTAGTATCATTCCATCGTCTGGCCGTTAGGGTGCTTTGATCTCATTTCATCGGAGCTCGGATCGAAGTAGTAAGTTTATAGATTAAGCGCGGTTCTTAAGCTATAGATTACCTGTGGATACGGCTAGGCCTCCGGATAGATTGTGGTAGGTGGCAAGTGGTGACAGTCTTGTCCATCCTCTGTATTTCACCACGTTAGGTCTAGTTATTAAATCATAGGGCTCATGGCAGACCTTATCTATTTAACTCTCCTAGTTGGTAGGTGGGTTGTGCCCCGAAGTACTAGCGCATTTCTCCTAGTCATTTGTTTACCCTTAGTTATCTCTAGTACAGCTTGTTTAGTAATTTAGTTTAGGTAGTTCACATTCAACTTCCACTATCGTTCACCTACCTAGAATACACTTAGGCTTTTCTTTAGCAATCCTGATAGTAAATATAAATTCTAGCCTTGTGCCTTTCTGTGGGAAAAAATATAAATTCGACACTCGGTACTCACCTAGCGAAGTGCTACGCGATAGTTCTGTGCGCTTGTAGAATTCCTCCAGTAGTTGTTAAGAAGTATGAACAAGCATTTTTGGTGCAGTTGTCGAGGAAGGCAACTGGCCTCGGATTTATATTGCTAGTTTTGCTAACTAATCTTTTAGTTATCCTAAGTAGTTTATCCTTTTTTCTCATACCATATCACTACCCTACACGATCATGGGCGACAAGTCCATTCGTGATTTTTCTGCACCCTTGGCTGCTAATGTAGTCACTAGACCTAATGTTATCAATGGGGACGCTAACTTTGAGCTTAAGCCAGCATTAATTATGCTGGTTTAGGCTAGTTCATTTTGTGGGAAAGCCCACGAGGATGCAAATGCTCACCTCCAATACTTTTTAGAGATTTGTAGCACATTCACCATTAAGGGAGCGAACCAAGAGGCTAAACGTCTTTGTCTTTTCCCCTTCTCTTTGATAGGAAAGGCTAAGCAATGGTTTTACTCTAACCGCAATGCTGCAGATACATGGGACAAGAGTTCCAACGCTTTTCTAGTCAAGTTTTTCCCTATGGGGAAGACTAATGCTCTGCATAATAAGATCTCTAGTTTTCAACAACTAGCGGATGAGTAGATTCCCGAAGCTTGGGAATGAATGCAAGAGTACGTCTCTGTATGCCCACACCATGGCATGGAAGACTGGCTTTTGATCTAGAACTTCTACCATGGATTAATGCTGTTAGATAAGAGCCATTCAGATGCTGCTGCTGGTGGAGCATTCTTATTCGCTAAGTGTTGCAGATGCCAAGACACTGATTGAGAAGATGGTTTCCAACCAAGGATGGAGCGATGATCGACTCCAACCCCGTAAACGAGGTATGCATTCAATTAAACAAATTGACATGCTTGCGGTTAAGATGGATCTGCTCGCAAAGCGAGTAGAACATTATGAGAAGGTGAGTGCCTAAGAGACACTCAAAGCCATGGAATCCCACATGACTTGTGAAGTCTTTGGAGATGTTGGACATTTGGGAAATTCCTGTCCCGAGACACAGGAGGATCTCAACTTTGTCAACACCGACAATGGGTTTCGTCCACAACAACATCAAGGATGGAATCAGCGCTCCAACAATCAAGGAGGTAATAATTATTACTCTTCTCAATGCATGAATAATCAAGGTAATAATAGTTATGCTTTCCTTAAAAATCTTGTTTATAGCAATGGTAGAATGACTGATAGCATAAATAAGAAGTTGCATGCTCATGACAAGATGTTGGAAAATATAAATGCTAAATTCGATGAGTTTTCTTCTGCTTTAAAGAATCAACTTAGTTTCGATAAAATGATAGAAACCCAATTAGCCTAAATTGCTGCTGCTATCCCATCCTATGAAAAAGATAGAATTCCTGGTAAATCTGAAGGAACCATGGAGGCAGCCAACCTTATTACAGCAAGATATGGCTATGCTTTAAGTTCTTGGGGTTCATACTTAGTAGATTCCCCATTTACCATTAAGAAAGGTGATCCTAGAACTCCCACGATTGCCTACACCATTGGAACTCATACCTTCCATAATGCTCTATGTGATCTAGGATCTAGTGCTAACATCATGTCTAAGGCAACTTATGATAAATTGTATTACACTCTCCTAGCTCCAACTTCAGTTTACCTACAATTAGCCAATCAATCCACCCGTTATCTCGAGGGAGTAGCCACTGATTTATTAGTTAAAGTTAGGAGTGCTTATGTTCCAACAAATTTTATGATCTTATACATGGGCAACGACAAGAATACACCTTGAATCCTTGGTCATCTTTTCCTTAATACTATAAATGCTTGCATATATGTGGCTTCTGGGCAAATCCAATTCCACTTTGCTGGAAGAAAAGAAATATTTGATTTTGCCACTAGATAGCCCCTCTTTGATGAGAAACAGAA